AATTTATTTGAATGACTACTGAAAAACTTCCTTAACATTTGTTGTTTAAGCTATCTAAACAATAGCAGTGTTGAAGTAAAATACCTTATCGACCAAAAGCAAAGTCATGCAAACCAAGATCATCAACATATCAAATTGTATTATTATCAGAGCAGCCAGAATCGACGTTCCTTATGACGGTTTTTAAACTGATATAGACCAAGAAAAGGTTGAAAAAAAGAAGAAACTAGTGCTAACAGAACATCTGATTCTTGTAATAGATTCATAAAGCTCTAAACTACAATAGAAACGACTTTTCTTTTGTGGCATACGCATCATTTTAGCAAATTGGATAAAAGTTGAAAACTGTTTTTTCTTTAGCTATTTAATTTTTCTTGATAGAGAAATTCCCAATTCTGCTGCTATCAATTTGCTGATCTGTTCTAATCACTACAAGACGAATGTTTATTTGCTTTTTTTTTAAATCAGTTCGTCTGCATTTGACGGCGAAATTTACTTGGCTCGAGATTGCCATAATTTGTTGCTAAAAATAATTTATAAAAAAAAAAACACAAAAATAGCTGTAAAATAATACTTTCTTTTGCCGCAGTACTTTTTCCTCTTCTTTGTATTTCTTTCACTGTTTTTCAAATCATCAAAGAATAACAACCAAAAAAAAATTTTCTTTCTTAATTTCTCAATAATATAATAAAAGTTCTTTTTTTCTCTTTGTGAAGTTGTTTTCAATCTGTTTTTCAACATTTCAACAGTTGAAGTTTGAAGATGGCAAAAAAAAAAAAAAGCTTAAAAAGAAGAGAAAAAAAAGTTTGTGTTTGAGGTTGTTACATTGGGAAAACAAATGGAAAGGCAGTGCAGTAGCGGTTATAAATAATAACTGTAGTAACATATGTGATGGTGGCGGCGATGGTCGACAGATGAATATCCGTCAAAAACATTCATCTGCCTTCTGCAACTGATTCTTGGATACATTGTCTGAACAGTTTCGCTGCTTTCTTATTACCGCAAAAGCATCATCATCTTCATCTTAATCAACATCATCACTGTTATCGTCCTCATCAACCTCATCACCATCATCATAAGCATCAGCACTATCATTATCAACGGCAGCCTTATCGTCATTGTCACAATGACTCGTCAGATTCTTCTAATATCTTTTCATTTTGAATTTCCCAATTTGTTTGATATATTCATTTATTTTTACCTTTTCTTTACTTTAAAGTTTACTGTCGATAACGACTTTGTCAACAACATCGTCCTTACGAACATTATATTACTTTATTGTGTATTATATTATTGTTAGTGCAAGAAAAAAAAAATCTACACTTTAAGAAAATATAGAAGGATTAACGAAAAGCGGAAATTTTTTTTTTTTCATTTCTTCACTGTCCTTCCCCTTCTTCCTACCCTCAAGAAGTGAAAAAAATATATATATAACAATCATATTTTAAGTGTTATCTTTTGCAGCAAGTTTTTTTCTTTATTTTTTGCAATAAAGTTCATTAGATTGACTTGTTTGACAGGTAAACATGAAATAAATGCAGAAAATTGAAGACAAAAAAAAAAAAAAGAAAAAACGGTTGAAACGTTGCAACGTTCAAAACTGTTGCTTTCGCCGCTTAGCCCAGTTGACGTAATAAACAGTAGCCGCAAAAGAAGCATCAGCAGCAGCATCGGCTTCATCAGCAACATCAGCAACAGTAACGACAACAGTAGCATCAGCAACAGTTGCACAGTGTATGTGTTCTGTGTTGGTTAGATGAAAAGGAAAAGCATTTATTTTTTTAAAGCTTCAAAAGTTATAGGGAGAAGCAAAACGATATCTGTGCAGTCTCTATGTGTGTGTGCTGTGTGTGTGTGTGTGTGTGTGTGTGTGTGTGTGTGTGGTGTGTGTGTGTGTGTGTGTGTGTGTGTGTGTGTGTGTTTGAGTATACGTGTATTTGTGTGTGTCAGTGTGTGTCTGTGTGTCTTTGTATGCGTGTGAGTGTGTGTATGTGTTTGTATATTTGTGCTAAGTTCTTAAATTCAGTTCACTAACTAAATTGCTGACTGATTGTCTAACTAACTAACTGCTTACAAAGAGAAAACTTCAAGGTTTATTTTTACTGTTCACTCAACTGCTATGTCGACAAGTTAAATGTTTCATATAAAAATTCTTAATGTTATTTTCTTTTTTTTTTTTCTTTTTCTTTAATGTTATTCTTTTAGTATAATTTTAGTTTATTTTTTGAAGAAAAGAAAAAGAGGAAGAGCAAAAAAGACAGAAAAAAAAACATAGGAAGATAGAAGAAGAAGGAATTGAAAGAAAAAGAGAAAGAAATAAAAGAAAAATAAACTTTATTTTTTTTTTTTTTGTGCTAATAAAATGTAAACCAAAAAGTATAATGGTAATGGATGAATATAAAAATGTGAAATTTTTAGTGGGTTGCAGACTGCAGAAGAAGTAAAATTAAGTTATATTAAGTGCTAACCAAAACTGCTGCACAGTTATTTTATCGTTTTCAGTTTTTTTTTCTTCTAC